GCCCCAGCTTCTGAGTTTCTGGCTTTTCTGGGTGTTTCAGGAAAGGTTTTTGTTTGGTCAGATGTTGAACTTGATGATCTTGGCGATCGTTTCCAAACTTAATGATTCTATGATTTTATGGCCCAAGTGCACGCTAGCATGCTCATACAAATGCACTATTTTTCCACATGAAAACATTTTTTCTAAATGTCCAGATTTTATCCTGGCCCAAACAGCTCCAGCCTTGAAAAAGGTGACATTTTTCATAAAACAACATCTTTGCCAGCACAGCTCATCACTGGACCTGCATTGCCTCAGAGTGATTTTTGGGGCAGAAAGAACCACCCTGGCCATGCTTATTTTGCCAGCACTCCTTTCCACATCTGACTGCTGTAGTGAGGCAGGAGAGCCCACAGGGCATGACAAGCGTGCTTTTTGCAATCAATTACTCTCCATTAGAGAAGTGTGAGCAGAGCAGATGAGTTTAAACAGGGATGAACTGCCTTTTCCCCTGCAGCAAAGGCCCTGCATTTCAGCTGACTTTGGCTCTTCCTCTCACTGTATTTCCTCTGCTTAGGCTGCAGAGCTGGAATGGCTGGGGTTGGGAGCACGTAAAGTGTGTTTTGCCAGGTAATGTGTGGAGCTGGGGCTAGGAAGCTTGTGAGGAACTATAAAACTGAGATAATCAAATGTTTGTGTTCAGCATTTGGACTTGGCAGCAGACACAGTCTTTCTCAAGGCTGCACTCCCTGCTCTCTGAGGGGCAGCAGTAGAGTATGCACTTACTTTGAGTCATGAATGCAAGGGTTAAACTTGCTTCAGAGCAGCTGGAAAGTGAGGGTTGGTTTTTAGGGAGGGAAAGGGAGTCATCTTAAATGGCTGCTGGAAGTCAAGAAGGAGCTTTGCAGCCCGGAAAGAGCCTCTGGGGTGAAATGTCAAAGCCAAGTGCATTTTCTGGTCTCAGTATAGTTTTGAGATAATCTCTTTTGTTGCATTAGCAGCCCCTGAACTGGGCAGTGTTTCTTCCATGCTTTGACAGGGTACTTATAGGCAACTTTTCTCTGTACTGTTATGTATGCATCTGGATTTTTATCTGGGCTCAGCTCTGAAATCTGGAGTAACAGCTTTGATGAAATCAGTGGATGTACTCCAAGTTTACATGTGTGTAGTTGAGATTAAATCAGTTTAAAAAAAAAAAAAAGCTACTATTTCACAAGATCTGACATCCACAAAATTGCCATTAAAAAGTGTGAGGAAGGCATCTTTTCTGCATAGTTTCTCCTGCCCTTTTCAAACTAAGCTTAACAGCCCTACCTGGGCCAGTTAGGAAAGGCTGGAGCTGCACCTGTGATGTGCAGACTAATTGCCTTAGAACTGCAGCTTTCAGCCTGCTCTGCCCATGCACTCTTCTCTGCAGTGGAAACCTGAACTGTGCAAAGTCACAACTTGGAAAATACAGTAGAATGTGTGACTAGAACATGCCTTGGTCTTCAGAAGCTTTCCACAGCAGTAGGTCTCTAAGCAAGATGGTTTCTGGTGCAGGCAGATTGCTGTAGCAGAGCATCCTGATGATCCTGGGCTGCGACACCAACAACCTGTATCTTTGATTAGATGCCATCACTAAGAGCCAAGTGCAGTGAAACCATTCATGACTTTTACTAAAACATGAGAAATCCGATCCATAGAGAGAGAACAGAACTGTGTGTATCCATTGTCAGTAACAGCTTCACCTTGGGAAAGGAGCCATAATGGCCAAAGGACATGTGAGTGCTTTCTGTGCTTCTGGAGGTCCTTGACCTGCAAAAGACCTGCAGCCAGGAATGTAACATCTGCTCTCAGCCAGGGGATTGGCTTGAAATGACTGTGTTATAAAAAAAGCCATGCAAAACCATAGAGCTCCACCTGACATCTGCATGGAAAGGTCCCTGACAAGATAATGTGGGTGTATCCTCCCCACCCTTTCCTTGATGATCTATGGCAGGAAATGATCTGAAGTTCTAAGTCAAATTTAGCATGTTCTGAAAATAAAAATATTCACCTACTTCGCGTTGTGTGTTCCTTTCCCTTCTTTTCCTTTCTTTTGGATTCCCATGCACTTCAGAGTGCAGATACAGTTAGACTGTTAGTTGTGGCACAACTGCAACTCACTCTGTCACAGTTATCTATCTTAGTAAATTGTGACACACTTCCCCCCTGCTCTCTTTATTATTGCTCCTTTACCCTTACCCTTAGCAGCTTTGCAGTTTGGGGTGGTGGTACATCATGAGTTATGCAATCCCCATCCCTCAGTCATTTGGGAGCCCACTGCCCTCTGTATTTGGACTTACTGCTGAATCTTATAATCTTGTTGCCTTGCTGAATGTGGAGCTTGCTTTTGGGTTACTAAGCTGTTTATCTCTTGGGAGTCCTGTGTGCTATTGAGCAAGGTATCTTAGTTTCTGTTGCGTACTCCCCATGTTGTGGGTCAAGTCTTGGACTGCAGCTTCATTGATGTGTTTGCCAGTCCCCTGTCAGCAGAGCAAATCACTTTATTACCATGTTTCTGGTTCCTGCTCTGTAACAGGAAGGTTGCAGCAGACCTCCCCTACGAAGTTCTATAGGAGCCCCTGATGGAAAGCCCCATGTGATGCTGGGCACTGCTACATCCCTGCACTGTGTCATTGCCAGTGCAGCTGGGATGGGAGCTGCTGTCTGAGCTGAACTTCTACATCTCTGTGGCACCCAACATCTCTCTGTAACTCTTGTGGCCATGCACTGCAGATGTTCGAGAATAACCCCTGGAAGCAGCACCTTTCCAGTGTCTGAATAAGGTGTAATGTGATGCTGACTGTGCCTCAGACAAGCAGAGTGAGCGCTGCTTCTAAGGCAGAAATTCCCAACAGCTGGGACAGGATTTGACATAAATACCAAGACATTGACGTTTGCCATTTTTGTTTTCTGGACACGTTCATGATTCTGTAGAAAGGGCCT